CATCGTATGTTGCGATGATCGAATCGCATCCTCTGCCTTCAAGAATAGCTTGCCAACCGAGCACGACTTATACTACAAGCTGACTATCGCTCCCAACCAGACTCTGGGATGACTATCGAATAGCCATGAGAAAGTCTACCAGGTAGACTGATCAATCGACCAAACAGGCATGTTAGAAGAGTGACAGATTCATCAACAAGGGCAATACTAAGCACAAGTCACATCCCTAATGAGATACTCGGGCAGATGAGAACTACACCAAGTTTTCCATCCTCATACATCAAATCCTAGCCCAAGTAAAAGACAAGCCTTGGGTGAAGAGCCACCGCCTTCAAAAAGAGACCCGAACAAGAGGGATAACAGAAAATATTTTGCCTTCCATAGGGCACACAAGCATTTCTCGAATGATTGCTTTGCCTAGAAAAGGCACCTTAAAGAATTGGTAAAAGAAGGCCACTGCACAGAGTTCATAGCAAAGCAGGTCATCCAACCGATCGAGGACCGAGATGCAGCCAAGGAACCTCCGCAAAATGTCATAAGGATTAACCCAATCCTGGCTGACTCCGAGGAGTCTGGGTTAACCACCAAGGAAAAGAAGAGGAAGATTAAACAGGCCATTGTTATCTCCCAAGTCTTGACCAGCTGCCCAGCAGTTGAAAACGATCGCGTGATCGATTTCCAAAAGAAAGATTTAAGAGGGCTTGATTTTCCGCACAACGAGGCCCTCGTCATAAGCACCTAGATCACGCAAGCCATGATTGATTGAGTTCATGCAGACGAGGGCATCCCAACAACCATCCTACAACTTTCGATGGTCCAACAGATGGGAATGGGGGCCAAGATTAACAGGTCAACCAGGTCGTTGATCAGCTTCAATAGTGCAACCACGATCATTGTGGGAACGGTAGAGCTTGACCTCTACTCCCCCTAGTGATCATCGCTCAGACATTCATGATCATCGACGAAGTCTCCCCTATAATGGCATCTTGGGTAGACCATAGATCGGCAAGATCAACACCATCACATCCGCCATGCACCAAAAAATTCTTTACCTAATCCCTAGGGGCGGGGTCGGTTAGATCAACAACGACCAGGCGATGGCGAGAAAATGCTCAGCTTAAGGGCTGAAGAAAAGCAAGTAAGTGCAGAACAAGCAGGGGAGGAAGTAGATCTCATTCCTGACAGTAGAGCAGATCAAAAGGGAAAGGGAAATGGAATAGCCAGTCCCCAATAGCAATTAAAGAATCAAGACCACGACGAGGCAATCCGTCGGGAGGTCACCCCCGAAGAAGGGCGGAAACCTGAAATGGATGTTGAACTAGTACTCCTTGATCTTGACAAGCCAGAGAGAAAGGCGCAGATCAGCTCCCGTCTTAGCCTAGAAGAGAAGGTGGAACTTACAACCTTCCTCCATAACAACAAAGACGTGTTCGTGTGGTCGCTAACCGACATGCCAGGAATCAATCCACAGATCATCTACCATCTTCTTCACGTCAACCCAGCTAGTAGACCAAGGGCGCAGAAGAGATGCAACTTCGCTCCCGAGTGGGTTGCCATCATCGAAGCCGAGATTGACAAGCTCGTAGCTGCCCGTTTCATTGAACAAGTCTCCTACGCATAGTGGCTGGCCAACATTGTTCTTGTGGCATAGAAAGACTAAGGCAAGTGAATAGTGTGCATGGACTACACCGACCTCAACCAGGCGTGCCCAAAAGACAACGTTTCCTCTTTTATTAAATTTTTGTGGAAATTAGGTTATGAGTTTTTCCTTTTTGACGTTTTCTCTTTGTCAAACAATTGAAAAACAAATCTTGTCATATGAATCTTACCAAAAAAAATTTGTGTCATTTGAATTTCAATTTCCACTTAAATTATCAAAGAATTTTTTGTAAAAAAATAGTCTGGTCCAATGTTATTCGAAAAAGCACCAAACACAGTATAACTTAGTCAGACTATTTATCTTAAACAGTACCAAACACCTTATAATTTTATGGATAAATAGTTGTTGCGTAGATTTAGCTCCACCAAAATGGATTAAGCTGCATCCTCAACTTGTGATACTCGCAAGTGCACGAACCGTTGGTAGTATAGCATATGTAAGTGCGAGGTCGATTCCACAGGGATTGGTGATTGAATGATCCAATTTAGTTTCCCTACACAAAATAGAAACAAAAACAAAGAACATAAAACAAGGAAGAAAGAAATAAGTAACTCAAGCAAATAAGTTCCCAAGTTCAATTTAGATTAATGGATTGATTCTAGCTAAAGTATGATTAAGCCATGGTGTGTGGTCATAACCTTGTGTTCCTAATTCCCTAATTTGATCATTTGTTGTCTAACCTAAAATTAAGCATTAGGAACCCATTAAGCATAGAAGAACAATTTAAACAACCAAGCATGTATCTAATCCCTGTTGTCGAATGTCCATACATACTCTTCTTATTCATAGTTCAATTCGAATTAAAGCATGGTGTATACTCTCAATTCAAACCAAGATAGCTAACATGCAAGCCTAAATGGTCATCAATCATTCAAACTAGCATATTAACTTATAAGCATAATGAAAAAAAACAAAAACCATAATTGAAACTTGGAAACTAATCAAACACTTCTCTAGAGCTCCCTTCCCTTCACTCCCTCAAATTCTCTTAGTTTCTCTTTCTAGCCTTCAATTGTTATAATGAAATATTTGTGCTGAAATTTTCCTTAAGTTTTTCTTAGTTCCACTTTACTTTTCATTATGTAAATTCTTTTCTTTAGTCTCAAGTTTGATTAGTTTCCAAGTTTCAATTATGATTTTTGTTCTTATTCATTATGCTTATAAGTTAATATGCTAGTTTGAAAGATTGATCACCATTTAGGCTTGCATGTTAGCTATCTTGGTTTGAATTAAGAGTAGACACCATGCTTTAATTCGAATTGAACTATGAATAGGAAGAGTATCTATGGACATTCGACAACAGGGATTAGATACATACTTGGTTGTTTAAAATGTTCTTCTATGCTTAATGGGTTCCTAATGCTTAATTTTAGGTTAGACAACAAATGATCAAATTAGGGAATTAGGAACACAAGGTTATGACCAAACACCATGGCTTAATCACACTTTAGCTAGAATCAATCCATTAATCTAATTGAACTTGGGAACATATCTGCTTGAGTTAGTTATTTTCTTTCTTCCTTGGTTTATTTATTTCCCTTCTTTTTCATTTCTGTTTTGGTAGTTTAGCATATGTAAGTGCGAGGTCGATCCCACGAGAATTGGTGATTGAATGATCCAATTCA